TCTTGAAATTTTATGCTCATTATATCGAACGATAATTGTCAAGCTAGAACTAAACCACCAGGCTAAGCTGGCAACTTTCAAGTCAGCACGTTGCCCAAGTCTAATCGATGGCCACAATTAATGCGTTCTGTCTGAACGACTTTGATGATGCTTATAAACAGTTGGAATTATGTTTCTACGAAGATTAGCAGGTCTCACTGTGAGTAGCATAGTCTGCAGTTCTGGTATATAGAAAAATCTTTAGATAACATCTCAATTTCTTCAAATCCAACAATCGTAATTACGCTAATTATGACATGCATTACAGATGCTACACGGTAGACTACAGTATCAGTCCTCCCAAACGATTCCTACAGATCGGATGTCAGTGAGACATCCACGAACAGCAAGATGACAATATATCGAATGCTCTGTGAATAATGTACAAAATTCCGTTGGAGCGATGTGAAATTTACAGCACAAAACTAATCTCAGTGGAAGCAGTTACTGAATGAGCTTGAATCTTTATCTAAAAGAAATGAAGAACCGAAAATTGAATGAACGAATGAAATTTCGTTTAACAAGAATCCTTAGATATCAGAAGCTTTTCTCGTAGCAAAAAATATCTGATTCCCGTTCAATGTTTAAACAGAATCTAATATTGTTTTCAACTGAGTCATACGATACTGGAATCTTTAACTTAGCAAAAACCGTAGATTGAGAAGATCAATTACTGATTAGACTTACTGTGGCATGCCAATAACATTCCAGAGAACAAAACCATGTTTCCCACACTCTCCAATACCATTGGTTTACTATATCAAATCTATTCAGCCGCTAGTATCCCCAATCGATTACTCACTAATAATGAACCTACTAATGAAAGTAATCGTTGGCTTTCATTTATATTATAAATTAACCACTTTTCAATGTCAATGAATTGAGCCAAATCGGTCTCTACTGCTTTTTTAAACTGCAGATTGATGAATAATGGTTTCTTCTTCTAGCTTATATTCCTATTTAGTATAGAAACGTGGATGTTACATATTCCTCAAAGATGGAGCCGGTCTAAAATTTTTCAGATCGGTATTGGTATAGGTCTGACTATTTCTAACATAACTGGATCAACTGGTGACCAGTACTGGTTCCATCTCTGATATTCCTGATAATTACTTATTCATCTATTTATTTTTTCATGATTTATTTTTATTTTGAAAAATAATTTTCTCATTTTTTTTACTGTACATTTCAATCAGATACTACTGCTTGTTACATATTTTGTAATACTGCTGTCTTCATTTTTGGTATTCTAGTGATTGACCTATCTATTTCTCTTCTATCAGTTAACAAATTTACTAGGAAAAACTTATAAAGGTGACTTAGCATTGTGCTATTTTGACTAGTATTCAGCAGTATGATGGTCATTATCCTTTGTGAGGCATAAACTTCAGAGGTTCTTCCTTTATCATCCATTGAAACCAATACTCTTATTTGACTGGCTAATAGATAAGGGAACCATATTGTTTTTACTTTAAGTGAACATAGTGCTAAAATTGACAGCACAATAGCTTTTTGAATTTCATTATATTTTCTACTTGTTGTGTGACAAAACACATTGAAGAAACATCGATATATTCTATCATCATCGGAATACGAAGCTTGTTAAGAAAATGTTCATAGGGTAGTAAATGTCTATACTTTTAATAAAATCATGCTAAATTTCTTTATTAAAAACAAACACATCGATATATGTTATTTTATGTGGCACGATAATGAGAAACTATCGGGTCTATTAATATCTTCCCGTTTTTTGTGATTATTAGGTTCTGTGTTATTATCCTCTTTCTAACTTTTATTTTGTGAGTTTTGCTATAATAAGATGGATATAGTTACTTGTCCATTTCAACAAAAAAACCGAAAAACTTTTATTTCATTGAACTATTAATAGATTTTAATGAACAGTTTTTGATTAACTGAACTAAGAGACTTGAAGATACGTTACAGAGCATCCATGAGAAAATGAAAGAATCGGCGTACTAGTCAAAATTGAAGTTTTCATTTTTTTTG